TGAATCGCCCACAACCGCTCATAATATGACTTGGGTCATCCACAAGCTCCACCGGATGATCACCAAGCTCCCAACCACCAAGCCATCTAGGTGATGGCGATCACCAAGAGTAACAAGCACAAACTCTCACTTGACCAAGACAAACCTAATGAGAAAGGTGAATGCACACTTGCTACTCCCTATGCACTAATGAGGTCCTTAATCTTGGATTATCAAATCTCAATCACCCCACTAGGCTCTTGCTCCCCCATGCACTCCAAAGGTGTTTCTCAGCTAAACAAATGGGCAAGAGACCTCAAATGGACGAGTGGGATATGTATTATATCCCCCATTCAAAATATAATGGTTGAGGTCCAACTCAGCAAGTATTGGGGTGACCGGACGCTCCGGTCAAGGTAACCGGACGCACCAATCAGTGTAATACGTCAGCATGCCAGAGAGAGCCGTTTGCTCTGACCGGACTCTAGCCTGCGTTCGGTCAGCATCCACCGGATGCGTCCGGTCATCAAAAACCCTCTCTGGACCCTTACTGTTGTTCATCGGACGCTGGCATCCAGAGTCCGGTCATTTCTCTGTTCAGCGTCTGGTCCGTGGTCAATAGCCTGTCCACGCTGCTACAGATATGGCTAGCGTCGCGTTCGATGAGCACTGTGTCCAAAGGTCTCGAGTCGCACTCTAGCTAATCTGCTGCCGCCGATCAAATGAACTCGACCGGACTCTTCAAGTCAAGTCCGTCACAACCAAATCGTCGTCCAATCACCATTTTGACTCTCCATTTACTTCCAATTCGAAATTCTTTGTGAATGAAGTTGACTTCTATCGATCTTAGGGCTATTCCTAAGCTACCTAGTGCTAAGTTTGACAAGTGTGCACCACACCTAATCCATTAGACTTATCTAGATTAAGCTACTAGTCCATACCCCCCTTAATAATACGGCCAAAGGAAAAACAAAGTTCTATACTACTTTAAGTGTCTCTCCAACACCAAACAACACTCAAAACTAGTCCGTCCTTAATCTTATCGTCCATCCTTTGAAAACCGAAATGGTTTTCATCGACAGGGGCATGACAACCATAATTGCCCAATCAATTTCTATTACCATGACATAACTTAAATTGCTTCTACAAAATACACGTTAGTCATAGTAATCTCGTGTCGTCATTAATCACCGAAACCCAATTGGGGCCTAATGCTTTCAGTTACCCTGTACTTCGCTGAAGAGATCCACTAGAGCCAAAAGATGCGCAAGGACTATCAGATTTTGCTCCTCTACTGAACGGTTCTAGAGATGATGCCCATGCATTGAATGAACCAAATAATGAAAGATTTCCTAATGGCCATGTGGATGGAAACAATGTGTTGGCTAACAACAACACTGACGAATTTCCAAATGCGAATTCCAACACAGACAATACATGGAGGAGTCTTCAAGGATGGACTTGGAGCAGTTTTGGTTAACATTTTGACCAGCATGAGGCATCTACCTCCTGACTCTTGGGATGCATTCAGTGCTTGTAGTTATGGCCCTAACATGGGTATGCTAGCAGATTACATATATAGGCCATGTTCGATAAGACTTATTGCTGCTGCGGCTGATTTTAAAAAGTTGATTTTTTGTGAGAGAAAAATATGGTTCCCATGGCTGAAAAATAGGGTTAATTCTTGCTGATAATCTCAAGCGAACAGGGCCATACATGCCTACTGACCACTTGTTGACGGTTTGTTTTTCATCTTATAGATTGATGATTTATCCTTGTTTTATTTGCTTTGTAGTTGTCATGGTTTCCCTTTTTTCTTTTTGACACTGACTGGATGGGTCGTGAAGTTTACCATGGGGATCCAAATGGAGATCTGAGAGGAAAGCTTATGACAATGGTGTCCGAGAAGGTGCATTTGGTTTGCTATTGAATTCAGTAAGAACTCATGATCATTTTTTTTTTATATCTCAATGTAAGTTTATAACTGTAGTATTTACTTCATTTTTGCTAGTGTTGTTTTTTATATATAATTTGGCCTCCAGTACGCGGCCCTGTATATGGTCCTGCAGGCCAATAGCTTGAACCATAGCATCTATGGCTGCCCAGCGGTATCTCAACTGTAGCTTAGCATCTATGTTTTCAGAGCTCATTGCAGATCTCTCTGGCCTGACATTGTTGGTCATGAGATGGTGTGGCCTGATGGTGTGTTTTGCATGTAATGGTTACCACCTATGCCTGAACCTGCACTTGCAGTATGGGCTATGAGATTTGCAATTTTTGGCCTTTCTAAATTTAATTTGTCTTTTAGTTTTCAAATGTGTCTTTTACCATCCTGTCTAGCCTAGTTATTGTTGATCATCGTGCTTGTTAGACAACAATAAAAAAAACAGCACAATACATATTTAGACGGCACAATTGGGCTTCATGAAGCCTGCGGATTCGACCTTTCTGCCTAGGCAACCGACCCACAAAAGCAACAAAACAGTAAAACACAAGAAGGCGTCAGATTAAAATCCAATGGTTCAAAATTTGTGAGCTGCAACGTGTTGAAACACTCGAATCTTTGCTATTCCTACATCGGTTTTTTTGCTATAATCACACGGTTGTTGGAAGCCTACAAAACAACCGAATGACAGGCTAAAAAGCTCCCTCTTTAAATCGTTATTTGAAGAGTCATTTATGTAAAACCGTTTTCTATATCTTTCCACTCTTCAATAATTTTTTTATATCATGTTTGCACTCTAAAGAGTTATATTATCGTTTTCTATCTTTTGCTAGCGAGAAATTCAAAATATAAGATGACTATATTTAGATAAGCAATTAAAGAGGCTGTTATAAGATATTTTTTCACCAAAATCTATATTCCTAACAATTAAGAAATATACTGAGAGTCTGTTGGAGTTACTTAGAACAGTCTTTTCTTCTCCGCTTCAATTAAAAGAAATTAATGGGCGGTAGATCAATATACGTAGTGAGAATCCTTTTATGATCCTCGATCTATCGATTGACCAGATGTTCGCTTGTTGGTTTCAGCTATGACTTATCAGCCAGTCAACAGTGTTTTCCTCTCACAATAAATCAGCACTAGCTGGGCTTATCAGCCCAGAAACCAATGAACGAACAGGCTCAACGATGCAAAGCCACACTTGATATGTTTTTCGGCTACGTAAGCATAAATAACTATTCCCTCCGTCTCCAAAGAAAGTCGTTCTACGACTTAAGGGGAGTATCAAGGAAATGGAACATGGTCTGCATTACCCCTATAGGTGCAAACAAAAAGAACTCCACTAACTGTTGTTGTAAACCGTATAGATGAACGAATACACACAACCTTCATTTCAAACCCACCACTGTTAACCTTTTTTCTATTTTTTTGCTTTTTTTCTTTCTTTTTTTTGCTTATATATATATATATATATATATATATATATATATATATATATGATTAAGTCTATTTTTGGTCCCTCAACTATTGTGTTGGTCTAATTTTGATCCTCAACTATAAAACCGTCCAGTACCGGTACCCCAACTATCAAAACCGTTTACTTTTAGCACCTGGGAAGGGGCAAAGCTGTTTTGACCGACGTTGAGCGGTTTTGACACGCAACCTCCATCTCGGTGACATGTGGGGCCCACGCTGTCATCGACTCAATCCCTCCCTCTCCATCCTTGACGGTTTCTCCACGCTGACCGCGCGCCTCCTCCTCCACCTCCACATCTCAAAGGTGAGGATGGAGAGGAGGGATTGACGTGTCGACGACACGTGTGGGCTCCACATGTCACCGAGATGGAGGTTGTCCTGTCACTTCTCTCTCCAACCCGGACGCTCCCTCGCCGCCGTGCTTGCAATAAAATAGCCCTCATGCGCCCCCCACCACGACACCCTCATCGTCCCCACGCTAAAAGTGAACGATTTCAACAACGCCAGCATCTCGGGCTACGCCACCGACATCGCCAAAGAAGACCAACTTTTCATCAGTTGGAGGTTAAAATTAGACCTTCACGACCACGGCGTCCCCATCCTGCTGAGGACCAAAATAGACTTAATCCATATATATATATACATATGTATATATATATACATATATATATATATACACACATTTTGAGAAACCCCCTGTCTTTTCTTCTTTTGTTTTTTTCGTTCATTTTTTTTTCTCCTCCGGGATATGGCCCTTGCTTCTTCCTTTCTTTCTTTTCTTTACTGTTCTTTGCCAGCTTCATGGTCACGGGCTTGGTGTGATTGTTTGGTGCTATCTTCAATCTTTTCATAGCAACCCCTAGACCTCCACGACTCACGAAGCGGCACGCTTTCTACCATGACCTCTCCGAGCATCCGCAGTCAATTTCTCAAGGATTCCGGCCTCGCCCTTGCTTCTACCATGGCCGTGAGGATGGAGAGGAGGGATTGAGTCGATGAATTCCAGATGTTTTTGCGTGTTAAAACCGCTCAACGTCGGTCAAAAACAAAGATTGCCCCCGCCCAGTGCTAAAAGTGAACGATTTTGACATCAATTTTAGCCGGTTTTTTATAGTTGAGGTTAAAATTAGACCCGACAAATAGTTGAGGTAAAAATAGACTTAATCCACACATATATAATATATATATATATTATATATATATATATATAAATCACACACTTTTTGGGGAAACCTGCCTCCTCAGCCCTTCTGCTACTATTCACCTTTTCTTTTCTTTTTTGTTTTTTCGTTCATTTTTTTTTCTCCTCCGGGATATGGCCCTTTATCAAATAAGGGCTTCGAAAATTGTTCGGTGCTATTCATTCTTTTCGTCCCCTATGCGCGCGGAAAGTTGCAATCAAAGTCAATTTTCTATTGGTGTAGAATTTGTTTGTTTGGAAATGCAATCAACTTGGTCACGCGCTAGTCATTATTGAAAGTCCGTTGATTTTCAAACAATTTGAGATCATTTGCCCTAGTTTCGACCATTTCTTCTAGAAAGTAGACGCGTGGGCATCTGTCGGGGCCGCACGGCACCCGCACCCGCACCGCCAGAGACCATGTGGCGCCGCGCTGGAGCCGGGCCGCTCCGCCACCACCTCGCTGCAGCCGCCGCCGCCGGCTGCCGCGTTAATCGACCCTCGCTGCCTCCTATGCCCACCGCCTCATCCTCCCCCGCCTCTTGCTCTTCCCTGTCCCAGCACAATCTTGGAATCTTGTGGGGTTCCGCTTCTGTCGGGGCTCCCTTCCGGAGCCTGTCGAACCAGTCTGGCGGCGGCGGCGGCGTGCTGGAGCTGCGGTGCGACGGGCGCGTTCCTCTCCTGCGGGTCCTGCGGGAGCGTGCAGCCCGTCGACCCCGCCGTCGACTACTTCCAAATATTTGGCCTGTGAGTAGCTCCGGGAATCTCGAGCCTTTGAATTACGTTACGGCTGCAGATTCGGTGCTCATAGGGTTACTCCGAATTCTGGGTTTGATGCTGAATGATGCGATGCCTTCGCAATTTAAGTCTCTGTTTGCTGATTAAAGAGGACTTGCTGCAATCGTAACACTAGCATCCTGGAGCTGTAGTGTTTGCGCTGCAGAATTGCAGCTTATTGTTCTATGTATTTTTGTGTGCCCTGTTATGCTGTGCAGTGAAAATCGTGGAAATTAGGGATGAAATTTAGTGTTGTTTTCCCCCCTTGAGCACGATGAAGAAAGGATCCAGAAGACCAGAACCCCATAAAACACACCCACGCACACCCAAAAACAAGAAGGATAAACACGCGTCTTATTAGTGTTTCATTACACGGATGCTTAGAACTTCACTCATGTGTGGCTAGGATTGATCAACTACTCGCTCTAATCCAAATATAAGTTGTATATGATATCAACATGCTCTATAAGACGATCCTTTGATAACATTCCTAAGCATGTCATTTTAAATAAAGCTATGCAGTTATTTTCCATGATAAATCTAATAGCATTAACCTTATGCCATCAATCCACACGATTGCTTATTTATTGATTGTGTAAATGTTTAACTGTCAAGGATCATAAAACTTTTTTTTCAATCAGAGGGGAGTGTCAGTTACCATTGGGTTTACTTAAGAATGTGACACCCTTGTCTGTTGCTGTATACTCCATATGGCATTCTTGGCAGGTTGATTTGTGTTGTAGCTCTTGTGAATCATCTGGAAAGTGATGTTATTAAGTTATAGGACCTTGATAAGACAATTCTTTTTAGTTTATGTGCAATCTGTATGTTTCTGTTTCCAAAACGAAAGGTTGTTGTAAGTGTGGAATTGGGCCATTATTTGAACATATATACTTGACAATCCATGTCTACTTTTTCTGAGTTAACAGAGTATGCACTTTTGCCTCTAATGTGTACTTTTTGTGACACAATATCAGTTTGCCAAACATTTTTGCAATTAGACACAATTGTTTCTATCCTTGTCAGTTCCATGCTATTAAGTATTAATATGATCTTTTCCATATTCCTACCGTAGTTAGTTAATTATTGATTGACTTATCTGGAGATTTCTTCATAAACTTATGTTTGTTTACAATGTAGAATAGTTCTACACTTATTAAAAGCTAATGAAACTTCAACATGTTTCAAGATTCTGCCATTTTTACTTTCTTGTAATGTTTCTGTGCCACTGAACATATGATGCTGATGTTTTTTCTCGTTGGTTTCTTCAGAAAAAGAGAATATAATATAAAGGATAATAACTTGGAAGGGAAGTACAAGGACTGGCAGAAGAAGCTACATCCTGACCTAGTTCACTCGAAATCTGAGGTTTCTGTCCATCTGGCATTCATAGAAATACCCATATTTAATGTTAACCTCTCTAAATTACTTCTGAATGGCTTATATTTATTATTTAGAAAGAGAGGGGCTATGCTGCGGAGCAGTCAGCACTTGTGATTGATGCGTACCGCACACTCAGCAAACCTTTATCTAGGGCATTGTACTTGGTGAGTTCATCCAGCAATGCTTAGAATTTCAGTGATGTGTAATAATGAGACACATATGCTTAGATTCATCTCGTTTTAATGTATTTTGAAGGTGTCTGGTTGACCCTTCACCTATGTGTACATGGAAAGAAGTACAGAGTAACAAATAATCACAACTTTGTGCTGGGTGTGTTGCTTGTAGTATTTGGTAATTACATCCTTTGATTTTCTCTGTCGGAAGTTTCTCCAATATGAATAAACATAAGCATTATACTCATCTTTGGAAGCATCTCATCTGTACGAACTTTTTGGCAGCTGAAACTCGAGGGGATACATGTCGATGAAGAAAAGACTATCAATGATCCAGAACTTCTTATGGAGGTAATTTCATTCATCTTGGAATACATGTGTTGGCATGCAGTAAATATAATCATCCTTCTAATTTCATATATCTTTTGATAACTGTGAACAACATTGCAATGATTGGAACACGCCCTCAATGTGTTAAACATCCTATGGAAAGTACAAAAATGAATGAACTCTGAATCGAGATGAATACAGCAACAACACAAATGGTTTCTTTTCATACATCTTATTCCATAAATTTACACGACATGAAGATGAGAATGTTCTCTATAAATCAATAACAAATCATTTGCAGATGATGGAGATACGGGAAGCTGTCAGCGATGCCAGTGATTCTCAAACCCTGGAGAAGATCCAATCTCAGGTTCTGATCTCTGAATAAAGTTACACATGCCATAACCAGGGAGCATGATATTACGTTTCAAATGATTTCTGGACTTATAGTTTGTTCTATTCCTTTTTCCAGATTAAGGAAAAGCTTGAAACCTGGTCTGATTCCTTCCAGAAGGCATTTGACAAGAAGGATTTTGACCGTGCAGTGGAAGCTACACAGAGAATGAGGTACTATGAACGTGCAGTGGAAGAAACGGTGAAGAAGCTCTGATCTTCAATTTCAGCTGTCAAAGGTGGTGAGGCTTGAATTTTTTCGTACGTTCCTGGCAGCTCCCCTGTGGTCACGCTGACATTGTGTTTGTTTTCACCTAATAAAATTTAGTCTCTGTCATATCGAATGTTTGGACATATGCATGGTGTATTAAACATAGAAAAAAGGGCGTACCCAGTGCAGAGAGCTCCCGCTCTGTGCGGGTTTGGGAAGGGTGTCAGTGGCAAGCCTTACCCTCGCCTGTGCAATGCGAGGAGACCGCGACTCAAACCCGGGACCTTCCGGTCATAGGCGGGAAGACTCTACCGCTTGCACCAGGCCCGCCCTTCAGAGTATTAAATATAGACTAATTACAAAATTAAATGCACAGATTGAGACTAATTAACGGGACGAATCTATTAAGCCTAATTAGACTCATGTTTAGTCTTTCTAATTAGTACCTAAATACCCGATGTGACATCTATTAAACTTTAGTCCCTGGATCAAACACCTATGAGGACAACATAAGAGCATACGCTGTAATGCTAAATTCCAAATGTATCCATGGCTGGTAGCCTGTTACAGAGTAGGTCATTTTTTTAACTCATACTTCCCACTGTTCCAAATGCATCCAGGGCTGTCCATTTGCCTATTCGTTTGCTCGTATACGATCGTGGATTATAAGCTGAAATAGTATTTTTCTCTCACACCAAATCAACTAGCAGTAAATAATCCACGATCGTTTAAGATGAAACGAACAGGCTTTGATGCCATATAAAACTAAAAGAGTAGAATAGTAGATAGAGATTCAGAATAAGGCTTTGATGCCATAATTTTATAGAGTACAACAAAACCTGGTTTTTCTGGTTACGTGAATCAGATGCATATTAAGCAGAAACAATTCGAAAGTTTTTTTTTTTTTTTAATGAAAACAATTCGAAAGTTGATCTCGGCCGCTGCGGGCTGCGGCAACAGCCAAGTAACCAACAGGTGCGGGGAGGTCTGTCAAACGGGCCTTTCCTGGGCTACGGTGGGCGGCCCAGCTACTGGTTCACCCTCGCTCTTCTCTTCCTTTCCCCTCGGTCCTCGGCTCCTCGCTGACAGGCAAGCGAATCCAAGTAGGAGCAGCAGAGTAGGCAGCTATGGCGACGACGGCCGCGGGGTACGGCTGCTGCTCGGCGGGGCTGCGGCCCTCCGTGTTGTGGCCGGGGATCCTCTCGACCCGCCTGGAGCCTCCTCCTCCTCGTGTGTCCCTTGCCGCCGCCTCCTCGAAGCTCAGGGCGCTGGCACCGCGGTGCGCTCCGTTCTAGCTCGTTTTTTCGGCTCGGCTCGGTTCGCGGGTGTCTAAGCTCATCTCTCTTCGCGCAGGTTGAGAGTTTCGTACCGTCCAAGGAGGCTCGTTGTCTCTGCTTCCTCCTCCGGCGAGGCCAATTCGGACGCACTGCCGTCGCCAACGGTTGGCGCTCTCTCTCACCCCTTCCTCTCTATGATGTTTCCAGATTGTCAGGGGCGAATTGGTTTGGGTTATGGATGCTCCATGTTCCTTGGAATTATTTGGTGGAGGCAATTAGGGAATGGATTGGACTGGGTAGCCACCAGCAATGGGGAAACAGTAATTGCTTGGGCTTTTGGATCACTGTTTATTGAAATTGAAGAACTGACGAGATTCAACCTGATATGTTGATGTAGGCTGCTAGCTATTCTATATCAACTTTAATGATTCCTATTGTCAGAATAATTGTTGTTTTCTAATACCATATCTTCTTTGTCCATTTGGCTGATTGTTGAAATTGCTAATTGTTTACTGAGATTGTACTTGTGTACATTTCTTGTAGGTCTTTCATTGCTTGGGTTTCTTGCAGACTGTGCCATTCAAAAGAAAAAACATTTTGTAAATTGTAAATTTGGTAGGTTGTATACATATGTGATATGTGAAAATATGAATAGAAATAATGATAAGTTCCTGCATTTTATATATAATTATGAGGTTTATATTGCATGAAAAACAATGTAACAAATTGCTTGCTTATTGAGGATCAAACTAGGTTCAGAAAATTAAATGCTGCTCAATTTGCTGGCAGATTGAATAGTGAAGCGGCAAACAGCAGATGTCTAGTTTGTAGGCCAGAATGTCCTATATGTAACTTTTGTTTGTGCAATGTTTCAGGAAGCCAATATTGATATAAAGCTTCCTAGAAGAAGCTTGCTTGTTCAATTTACATGCAATGCATGTGGTGAAAGGACCAAACGCTTGATAAACAGAGTAGCCTATGAAAGAGGAACAGTTTTTCTTCAGGTACACTTTGTTCTGTGCCTTTACTTATGTGCAAATGCAAACTCCAGACCTACTGCTTTGCTCATTTTGGATCGCTGTATGAGACAAGCCCACATTCCTACGATTGACATTTTCTTACGCATCCTGTAAATTTATGTTCTAACATACACTGCACGAACAGTGTGCAGGGTGCCAGGTGTACCACAAGTTTGTTGATAATCTTGGTCTAGTTGTTGAATATGATCTACGGGAAGAAAACGAGGTACAAGGAGAAAATGCGGTGAACAGCAGTTCTGAAGATTGATCTGTTGCGGGAAGCAGTGTCGGTATGCAAAACGCCCTGTAGTCTGTAGGTTTTGACAACATTGATTGCTTATATGTAAAATGGCACGTTAAAGCCGCTGCATATACTCATCTGAATGCAACAGGGCCTTTATGTACTTTGCATACAGTGTGATATATATGGTTTTATGAAGGAAACGAAGGATCATGATACCAGAGTACTCTGCAGCTCAAAAAATGTCCGATTGGATGTAGATATTAGAGACTCTCGAATTGAATTGGTACCATTATCAAATCAGGCTAGTATTGGAAATGGACTAAATACTAGATGTAGATGAATTTGCTAGCTGGAATCGAGTGACACATCAAATATCATTTCATGTTTGGATCTACACTTCTAGGAATTCACTGTCTTCTTCCCCAATCCCCACCGCTCGCACGACGGCCTCGAGCGCAGAGGTGGAGGTGGCCTTGGCCCCAGCCATGGGCAGGTGGAGGCGGAGGTGGCCCCGGCCCCGGCCTCGGCTTCGAGCGCGCAAGGGGAGGCGGAGGCGGCCTCGGCCTGCCCCAGGCTGCACGAGCTTCAAGGCCTTGACGAGGCTGCCCGACCATGCGATGTGCTCGTGTGCTCGGATGGAGAGAGAGAAGCGGCCTCGGCCTCAATCATGATGAGCTCGGGCATGGAGGAGGCCGGATCGGAGCCAAGCGTGCTTCGGGCGGTCGGTCGACGAGGTATGGCGGAACGAAGCTCGAGCAGAGCGTGATGGTGGCCATGGTGGGGCGGATCTGGTCCCCTTGGCGGTGGCTATGGCGGAGAAGAGCTAGGCCCTTGGCGGTGGCCATGGCGGGGAGGAGCCCGACGGCGGCCATGGCGGGGAGGAGCTACGAGCAGCTCGAGCAGAGAGGGAGGAGGAGCAGCTCGGGCAGAGAAGGGTCTTGGGGCCACCGGTTGCGGGGAGGAAGAGAAGGGGCGTCGGACCGCCAGCCACCGGGAGGAAAAGAGAAGGGGAGGTCAACGCCGGCTGCGGGGAGGAAGAGAAGGGCACTCCTGTTCTCACGATTCAGTCCAATATGGAGGGGTTGATGTGGGGGGTATGACTCCGGATGACCACGGCAGACTACATGGGCTGCGCTGCTAGGGGCGGTCCAGCCCACAAGACGAAGGCCTACGGTGCACGGCGGTGCTCGGCGTGCACCGCAAGGCATCAAGGGCGATATCCCGAAGATGCTACAAGATTTATTAGGATACGTTCGATCCCATGATTCCTGTAATCTGTTATTACTTTCCGGTTATCTCTTAGATCTAACCGACTTGTAACCCTGCCCCCTAGACTATATAAGGCGGCAGGGACCCTCCCTCAAAACACACGCAATATCATACGATAGCCAATACAAACCAACAGACCACAGTAGTAGGGTATTACGTCGTGTAGACGACCCGAACCTGTCTAACTCTTGTGTCTCTGTTGCCTTCTTATTCTTGATTACGCGCACCTCTGTCGATCAATCTACCTTCGTGGGATACCCCTCGGAGGATTGTCGATGATATTCTATCGACAGTTGGCACGCCAGGTAGGGGTGTGCGTGCTGTTTCTATGACGGACAACGCCTCATGGTATACGAAGACTCCGCGCTAGTCATCAACCAAGTCAACAAAGATTGGTCCTGCTCTAGTGAAAAGATGGACGCATACTGCGCCGAGATCAGGAAACTCAAAGTAAAGTTCTACGGTATCGAGTACCATCACGTGGTACGAGATCAAAATCAGCTCGCCGACCACCTATCTAAGATAGGCTCTTCTCGCGCCGCGATTCCGCCTGGGGTCTTCGTTCAAGACCTCTTTGCGCCGTCTATTATGGAAGAGAAGGAAGTTCAAGAAATCTCCCCTGCCGAGCAGCTGGTACTTATAGTACCTTCGCCGGTTGTAGACTGGAGGGAACAATTCATCAAGTACCTCACCAGCGCCGAGGTACCCGTCGATAAGACTGAAACTGAACGCCTCATCCGTCGTTGTAAGCGTTACATGCTGGTGGATGGGAAGTTGATGAGGAAAAGCGCCAAGGAAGGAATACTGCAGAAATGCATCACCCGAGAAGGAGTGAAATTACTTCTTGAAATTCACTCTGGCTCCTGTGGCAATCATGCGGCCTCCAGAAACCTGGTTGGCAAAGCTTTCTGAACTGGTTTTTATTGGCCCACGGCCATCGCCGACGCAGAAGACCTCGTCCGACGATGTGAAGGATGATAGTTTTTCGCCAAGCAAATACACGTGCCGGCACAGGAATTGTAGACCATACCAGCTTCTTGGCCTTTTGCATGTTGGGGACTAGACATGATCGGGCCTTTTAAGCCTGCACCAGGTGGTTTTCGGTACGTATTCGTCGCCATTGACAAGTTCTCCAAGTGGATTGAAGATAAGCCGCTTGTTTTGGCTACTGCAAAGAAGGCAGTCGAGCTCTTCGAAGATATCATCCATAGATTCAGTCTCCCGAACAATATTATCACCGACCTCGGATCAACATTCACTTGTCATCATTTTTGGGACTTCTGCGAAGACCGATGTCAAATACGTCTCTGTTGCCCATCCTAGAGCTAATGGCCAGGTCTAACGGGCGAATGGCATGATCCTCGATGCCCTCAAAAAGAGACTATACCAAAAAGAGGAAAATCATCCGGATAGGTGGCTCAAAGAGCTCCCAGCTATGGTCTAGGGACTGCGCACTCAAGCTAGTCGCAACACCGGTGTGTCTCCATATTTTTTGGTCTATGGCTCAGAAGCCGTACTTCTGGCGGACATTGCCTTCCGAGCACCTAGGGTGGAACATTATAATGAATAGCAAGCCGTAGCTGTTCAGGCAGAGGACGTCGACATGGCCAAAGAAGAACACCTGATCACTTGCATTGGCACAGCCAAATACCTAGAAGGCCTACGTAGATACTACAATCGCAATATCAAAGGTCGTTCATTTGCGGTCGGCGACCTCGTTCTCCGTAGAAAGTAGAAAACCAAAGGGATGCACAAGCTCTCCCCCCCTGGGAAGTGCCTTACGTGGTCAAAGAGGTTACCCGACCAGGGTCTTACCGGCTATGTGACATGGAGGGAATCGATATCCCCAATTCGTGGCACATCGAGCAACTTATATGTTTCTATCCCTGAAACGCTCCATATATGTACTCTCTACTCCATAATGAATGAAGTTTTTGTCGCCATAATTTGTCTCCATTATTTCTCTACTCTAGTTTAATCTCCACTTACGATTACCAGCTCCGAGCTGCTCCTTAACAAACTCCGACAATTATACATGATCTCCATAAATGCTCTGCCTCGTTTCTCCATACTAAAATATCTATAAGATATTTCGCCAACCATCGAGAAGCACACGTTCCGCTCTGTGTTCTTTGGAGAAAACCCTGCTTCCGATCTCTCCCTACACGTGCTACGGCCTCCAGCGCTCTACGTTATGGGTGGTCGGCTGTGGTTCCTCGGTCACGTCTGTTCCTCCTACACGTGCACGGGCTCCAGCGCTCGATGTTATGGAATACGGACTAGCCAAGGCCAAGAGCTCAGTAACGAACTAACTGCTCGGACGCTACTTATACCATGTATAAATGCATTAGGGTCAACAAATACATTTATTTTTCTCCGAAAGTGCTAGCAAGCCGCACAAACATGCATACAATGTCTACTTACAACTTTTATACAAATACATAAATGTTTGTTTATGCCCTCGCACATTTAACTCTCCTCTCCAGCTGTTTAATACAGGTCCCTCTCCACTCAGGCTATTAGGCTTGGCCGTCACCGTCTACTTCGCCAAACAGATCAACGTCGCCGGCCAGCTTCTTCGCCCGTCCTCCACCTCATCCATCAACTGCTCCTACTTCGTCGCACCCGTCCCTCTAGCGAATTCGGCCCCTATCGCCTGAAGATTGATCGCAAGGTAGTGGGACCAGACCACCGATAGGGCATGCGTCACGACGGAGACAACGGCGTCGCGGTTGAAGCCTTTGAAGTTCTCCCACACTGCCTTGCACCTGTCAATGATGGCGTCCGAACATGGCGGCCTATCGTCGGGCTGAGGAGCTACCTCTTTGTCGATACAGTCGAGCACCGGCCTGACTCCGACCACCACGGCGTCAAGTTTTCCCCTTTGGGTTCTTGCCTCCAGATCCAGCACGTCGAACTACGCCTTGGTTCTTCGGCGGTATTCTACACACACCAAAGGGATTTGTCAAGCGAAGAAGTCATTTCAGCAACAACTCTGACCACAAATTACTCACCATCCAGATACTCGGCCAGTTTCTCTACTCGCCCAGATGCCTTCTCCTTCTCAGCTTGGAGTTGACCGATGACTTCTCGCAACCGACCAAGCTCCGCATCTTACTCTACAAACATAACGATCGACCGCAACATCAAGACTGTTCGGCAATGCAGAACAAACTCACCGATTCGTAATACCTTTCTTCTGGTCGGAGATGCCTTTCAGCTGCTTGGAGGTGCGCCCTGGCTGCTCGGAGACGCTGTTCAGCTGCTCGGAGGTGTGCTCCAGCTGCTCAGAGACGGTTCTCACCTGCTCGGGTAAGGCACCCTTTTGGTACTCCATGTCCCTCACGTTTGATTCAGCAAGATCCCTTTCGCGCTGTGTCCTCTGGACGTTCTTCTCCATCAGCTTCACTGCCTCCTTCAGCTTCTCGTTCTCCTCGACGAGGGGCTCCATCCTCTTGATCAGCTGCTGCCGTTGTACAGCAGTTCGCGCTATGCCCTGCAAATCACCAAGATTATAAAGGACATATTCTCCAACACCAAAGATGACACCACTGACACAATACTAACCTCAATCTGCTTCATACTGTGGAAAGGGTGGACCGTAGCCTCTTCACCTCCCTGGTGGTGTCCTCCTCCACGATTACAACTTCGTCCCCCCATTTGCGGAGGATGCGGATGGCTTGAGGTCGTGTTTCTTCACGCTCAATCTCCTCGACCTCATCCTCTTCCTCCATAGCTAGTGGCGCTCGCTGGGG